TCATCTAGTTCATGAGCATTGTGTATCTTTCCTTTTATTTAGGCCTTTTCTAATTTCTTTCAGCAATGCTTTGGAATTTTCAGTATTGAGATCTTACAGTCTTTGTTTTTTTTAATGTTTGTTTATTTTTGAGAGAGAAACAGAGTGGGAGCGTGAGCAGGGAAGGGGCAGAGAGAAAGAACAGAGGATCTGAAGTGGGCTCCATGCTGACAGCAGAGCCTGATGCAGGGTTTGAACTCATGAGCCCCAAGAACATGACCTGGGCCAAAGTCAGACACTTAATCCAGGCACCCCTCCCCCTCTTTTTTTTTTTTTAATGTTCATTTTTGAGAGAGAGCAAGCAAATTTAAGAGGCAGACACATAACCAACTGAGTCACCCAGGTGCCCTGAGATCTTACAGCCTTTATGTTAAATATATTCAAAAGCATTTTTATGCTATTTTTTTTGAAAATTGCTTTTAAATTTAATTTTTATTTATTTGCTGCTAGAATGCAGAAATGTAATTTATTTTTCGGTATTGACCTTGTATTCTGAAACTTTGATAAACTCACTTATTCTAGTACTTTTTGTTGTTGAAGTTGCTGATGCTTCCTTAAAATTTTCTAAAAACAAACTTTATAGGGGCATCTGGGTGGCTCAGTCAGTTAAGCTTTGGACTTTGGCTCAGGTCATGATCTCACGGTTTGTGAGTTCAAGCCCCGCATCCGGCTCTGTGCTGACAGCTCAGAGCCTGGGGCCTGTTTCGGATTCTCTCTCTCTCTCTCTCTCTCTCTCTCTCTCTCTCTCTTAAAAAAAATTTTTAATAGACTTTATTTTAGAATAGTTTTAGATTTACAGAAAAATTATGAGGATAGAGGCTTGAGTTCCTATATACCTATACTCAGTGTCCCCTGTTATTAACATCTTCTGTTAGTATGGCACATTTGTCACAATTAATGAACAGTATTGCCACACTTTTATTAACCAAAGTCCATACTTTATTCAGATGTCCTTAGTTTTTATGTAATACTCATTTTCTATTCTAGGACTCCATGCTGTCTTTCCTGTAGTCATCATATTTCCTAAGGCTCCTCTTGGCAATGACAGTTTTTCTTTTTTCTTTTCTTGTTTTTGATGACCAAACAGTTTTGACAAATACTGGTCAGGTATTTTGTAGAAAACCTTAACAGTTGTCTCTTAATTGGGGTGTGTCTGATTTTTGGTCGTGTTTACACTGGGATTATGTTTTTTGAGGGGAGGACCATTGAAGTGAAGTGCTATTTTCATCACTACATGTCAAGGGTACATGCCATTGACATGAATTATCACCACTGATGTTGACCTTGTCACCTGGATGGAAGTAGTGTTTCCTTAGGATTTTCTCTGTGAATAATCATATCTACAAATAGGGACATTTCTTCCTTTCCAGTCTTTATGCTTGCTTGTTTCTGTCTTTTTGTTTGTTTTGGTTTTTGTTTGTTTTGCCTTCTTGAATTAACGGGAAAGGCCAGGGTAATGTTAAATGCATGTGGTGACAGTGAATATCCTTCCCTTGTTCCTGAGCCTAAAAAGCATTCAGTGTTTAACCCACTAAGAAAGTAAGAGGCTTATGTTTTTTGCTGCCCATTTTCAGACTGAGGCTCCCCGTTATAGCTAGTTTGCTCAGAGGTTTTAACATGAGTAGTTGCTGAATTTTGTCAGATGCTTTTTTTGATTCATGCACGTGGTCACATAGCTTTTCTCTTTTATACCGACTGTTAAACCAGGAGTCGGCAAACGTTTTGTACAGGACCAGATAGTAAATATTTTAGGCTTATCATTAAAAACAACTGTAGGCAAGGGGGACAGGGTGGCCCAGTAGGTTAAGCATCTGACTTCGGCTCTGGTTGTGATCTCATGATTTGTGGGTTCAAGCCCCACATCGGGCTCTGGGCTGAGAGTGTGGAGCCAGCTTGGGATTCTCTCTTTCTTCCTCTCTCTCTGCCCCTCACCCCTCAAAATAAATAAACTTTAAAGCAACAACAACTACTTTAGGCAATATGTAAACAGAAGGGTGTGGCTGTTTTCCAGTACATTTGTTAGCAAAAACAAGGCACAGGCCTGATTTGTCCTGCAAGCCATAGTTTCCTGTAGCTAATATTGTTTGACCAACCTTGAGTCAGGCTTCTGAAGCTTCTAGGCCCATCTGTGCACTTTGTAAATTCTAGTTTTAGCAAGAACCCTGCTAAATCAGTTTAACCAGAAACTGACCATCAATGCCCGCAGCCCCCTTTGACATCTGATCACCCTCAAAATCTGATGGGGAGTTGAGCCCAGTTATATACTGACACTGTTCATGTTATATTTAATCAGTCTGTCTTCATTAAGCAAGTTGGGAGGTATTCCTTTCTCCTCTTGTGGATGATAAAATTATCAACATTTCTTCTTTAAATGTTTGAAAGAACTCATTAGTGACTCTTCCCAGCTTGGAGTCTTCTATGTAGGAAGGTTTTAGTTACAAAATTAGTCCGTCTTTGATAAATATAAGCCTATGTGTTCCTTAAACAAATAATTTAATGTTACTTGTTTTTGAACTTTATAAGTCTATCATAGTGTATATACCTTGTGTTTTTCGCCTTCTCAGAGGGGAAACTGCTTGTTCATAGAAGGCTTATTTATATTTCTAGGTTAATTTGTGTGACCAGATGTTGTATTAGTCAACTTTTACAGACAAGTCTTTGATGAAGAAAAGAAAGAAGGAATCAACAAACTATTTGGACTTCATGAAAATGTATTGCTTGTCAGTAGTTGGTATATACAAGGGTTTTTTGGTTTTGGTTTTGTGGTTGTTTTTAGGATCACTGTTTTTAGGAATGACTGGCTCTTTGATTTTGAAAAGGAGAATAAAAGCATCATCAAGCAGGTATTTCTCATTTGAAATGGCTGCTCGCATCTTTTGAACTCTCTTCTTGAGCCTCGGGAATTCTCCAGGTTCAGATGGTGTTTTTCCAGCTGCCCTCGGTGGTAGCACAGGCAGGAGGCCAAGACTGTCGATCAGATACACCCCTTGAGGCCTTGGAGGAGGAAGGGAGCAACGTGATGGATTTTCTTGAATGATCTTTAGCACCTCACTTGATGTAAAATGTAGACAGGATATTTTAAAAAGCAAATAAGATGTTGTTATGCTCTTAGACACTTTGACTTAAGGATGTGTTTGGTAGGGGCGCCTGGGGCCTCAGTCAGTTAAGCATCAGACTCTTGATCTCTACTCAGGTCATGATCTCACAGTCAATGAGTTTGAGCCCCATGTTGTGCTCTGTGCCAACAGCGAGGAGCGTACTTGGGATTCTCTCTCTCTCCCTCTCTCTCTGCCCCTCCCCCACTCTCTCTCAACAAATAAATAAACAAAAAAAATGAATTTCGCACCTGTCTAATAAGCAATACAACCTCAGTCAAAGGGAGGTTTGGCCTTTGTCATCGCTCTTGGGATGTAACCTTGAAACACTTAAACTCTCCCAGGTGGTGGGAAGGTCTTAGTTATTCCGGGAGGGCCCTCAGGTCAGATCAAGCCAACCTCTTGGTGGGGGAGCTGGAGGCCCACTTCAGCCAGGCAGTAGTTCCGTCCCTCAGGCCACGTGACGAAGCCTTAATAAATGCAGACACGGACACTCTGCAAAGCTTCCTTGGCTGGCAGGACTCAATGAGTATTGTCCCACATCCTTGCTGGGAGGGTGATGCGTCCGGAGGGCGACGCAGCTTCCTGTTTGGAACTCTCCTGGACCCTGCCCTACGCACCTCTTCCTTTGGCTGGTTCTCAATTTGTATCCTTTCCCTGTAGTAAATGCAACTGTGAGTATAATTGCTTCCAGTGAGTTCTGTGAGTCCTTTTTGCAAATTAGTGAATGTGAGGGTGGTTTTGGGAAACCCCTGAACTTGGAGAGGTCAGGAGTCTTGGGCAGATTTGCTGTCCGGACCAAGCCCGTGCCTTGACCTGGCGGTCTGGCTAACTCCAGAGGCACCACAAGAAGTGAGCGGCCTGGCCTGGCCATCAGTTCCCACAGGACACCTTTCTTTTCTCCCTCCCCGTGTTTTACTTCTTCCCTTTCTCTTTGTTATTCCTCTACATTTCCAGACTTCTTTCTACGCCCCTCCTTTATCTATCCATCACTTACCCTGTCAATAACACCCTTGAGCTTTAGATCACCTGAACACTGACATTCAGGCGTGGAAGGATCTCTGATTCAGAGACTCTACAGTGAATGTCCGCACATGGCCATTGGGGTGCCTGAAGAAAGCAAAAATGTCTTTAGATATTTATGGTAAAAAAAAAATTCATTCTGCAAGGAGTTTTAAAAATGGGAGAATCTCATTTGTAAAAATGATAGATGTAAAGGAAAAGCCTGTATATGTTAAGCTGTGGTTGAGTAGGAGACCTCTGTAGATGTTTGATCTCGGAAATTTTAAATATGAGTTTCCCTTAGAAAACCCACTTCCAGGGGTCCTTGGGTGGCTCAGTCAGTCGGCTGGGCTTCTGAGTCTTGATTTCAGCTCAGGTCTTGGTCTCAGGGTTCTCAGACGTGGGTGTGAGCCCTGCATCAGGCTCCACGCTGAATGTGGGAGCCTGCTTGGGATTTCTCTCTCCTTCTCTCTGCCCCTCCCATGCTCACTCTTTAAAATTAAAAAAAAAATTTTTTTTTAATTAATGAAAAACAAAAATCTCACTTTCAGTTTGGATCCCTCCTGTGAGGTAAAAAATTTCTTAATTGCTATTTTTGTAAGTTTATTTTGAGAGAGAGAGAATATGTGTGCAAATGGAGGAGAGGTGGAGAGAGGGGGAGACAGATATTCCCAAGCAAGCTCCGCGCTGTCAGCCTACAGAGTCCAACACAGGGCTCTAGCCCACGAACCGTGAGATCATGACCTGAGCCACAGTCAGGAGTCAGACGCTTAGATGACTGAACCACCCAGGTGCCCCCCTAAATCACTATTTGATGGGAAGGGAAAAAATAATCCCACAACATCTTTGCTCATTTATTTGCAGGTTACAGACGATTTGCGAAATGAGTGCCTCTGACGATGACGACATTCCCCGGCTGTCTTCCCACACCTTAGCGGCCCTCCAGGAATTTTATTCTGAGCAGAAGCAACAAAGCGACCCAGGCGGGGATGATAAATATAATATTGGAATAATAGAAGAGAACTGGGTAAGTCAGTGCCTCCCACGTCTCTCAGGAAGCAGTGGTGTGGTGCTTGCTGATTCTGCACCTGCCCCTACCTGTCTGCACCTGTCCAGCCGATCTGCTGTCGGTCTGCGTCCCCCTCACACCCGCGTCTGTCTCACCTGTCCCTCACGCCTGTGTGTGCTGCTGAGCCAGAAAGCAGTCCGTGAACATTTAAGACTCCTAAGTGCAGATGTTCCTGGTTCTGATGGTCAGGCTGGTTCTGATGGTCAGACAAGGGGACTTTTCAGGTGGGGGACAGCATGTCATTTATGACCAGCACAGACTTGTGCACAGACCCTTGCTGTTGGTTTTCCTGGTGCCCGTCATCCTTGGGGAGGGGGTAAAATGTAATAGTGCAGTAAATGGGGTAACTAATTTAAACGTGCAATGAAAAAAAAGACGAAAGGGAATTCTGAAAAAGATATTAATAGGTTCTTGTGCATAGTATGTATTTAAATTGTATTTTTATGGTATAAATAAAAACATGAATTGAAAGAAAATAAAAGTGGAGGGAAACTGACGTAAGCTAGAACCTAGAAATGTAAATATGTGAAAGACACGGTTGAGAAATAGCTGAAGCTTGGGCTTTCTGTCTCTGCCTACCCCTGGACACTCTCTGTGCATCACTTTCCACCTAGAGGGAAGCTCTCATATGCCTTTTCTTTTCTTTTTTTTTAAACAGGCTTTTACATTTTGTGTTGAGTTTGGATCCCTTAAGTTGTTTAAAATTCTCCTATTTACCATCTGTTTGAAACTGACTGATAAAAATGTTTTTTTACATTTACACTAAATTTTCCACCTACACAAAAGCCTCTAACAGTTTCTCTTCTTCAGGTGCTTTTGTCTTCTAGCTCGATGCTTCTGTAGGTGGTGACTATCAGAAACTTGAAGGACTGTATTATTTTCCCCTTTCCCTCTGCTTAATGTTTTAAGCATTATGTGCTTTTTTTTTCTGATTCTAAAAGTAATCCATGGTTGTTGTAGAAAAAAGGTAGAAACATGAATACAAAAATGAGTTATTCCTAATCCCACTACTTAGAATTAAGTGTTTTTCTAATTTTGATATGTTCTTTTGGTTTATTTTGTTTTGTTTATAAAATTGAGGAAATCTCCTAGGAAGCAGAAAGAGAGGGAAGGAGGGAGGGAGAGATGCAAGTGCTGGAAAGAAACCATTTTCTACAACTAGAGGATGAATCCAGGAGGCTTAGTCTTTAGCTAATTGGATGGAATTCTAGAAAACTAGAACAGAAAATAAAGGGTAGAGGAAATTTTAAAAGATTAATATCAGAAAATTTCTCAGAACTCTTAAATAAACATTAAAAAAAAATTTTTTTTTTTTAAAAGGGGAGCGGGGAGTGCCCGGGTGGTTCAGTCGGTTAAGTGTCTGACTTCTGCTCAGGGCATGACCTCATGACTTAGGAGTTCGAGCCCAGAGTAGGGCTCTATGCTGACCGCTCAGAGCCTGGAGCCTGCTTTGGATTCTGTTTCCCTCTCTCTCTGCCCCTCCCCTACTCAAGCTCTGTCTCTCTAAAAAAAAAAAATAAACATTAAAAAAAATGTTCTTTGAAGAAAATTTCCCAGAACTGAAGATTCTCGCTAAGACACATGTTTATATGACTTTGGAAATTCTGTATGCAGGTGACAAGATCTTAGAACCTTCCAGAGGAAAAGCAAGTCACCTGCAAGTCTCAGGATGAGTCACACTGCACTTCTCAGTAGCTTTGTTAGAAACCATAAGAAAGTGGAGCAGTGCCTTCAGTATTGGGAGTAGAATTTTGTTCAGCCTAGATTTCAGCTTACTCCAGTGTGAGGGATAAAACATAGGCAGATCTCATGGTACTGGCCTCGGCGCACTGCTTCTCCGAAGCTGCCAGAGGACGTTGGAAGAATTGGAGGTCGGCTCAGAGAAACAAGCAGATGACACATTTATTAGGTCCAGGGAAAACAGAAAGTTCCATCCTAGAAGGAAACGGAAGCATAATGTGTCATTTGGCCCCACAATAAACACTGACAGTGATTTTAACCAAAAATAGGTTCCTGCCATATGGGGAGCGTGAGGGGTGGAGGAGGGTGTGCCTGACAGAGCAGAACCCTCAGGGGCTCTGATAACCACACAGTATAAGGTAGAAAACTCGAGAGAGCACTTAGGGGTGCCTCCCTGGCTCATTTGGAAGAACGTGCAACCCTCAGTCTTGGGGTCGTGAGTTCAAGCCCCACATTAGGTATAGAGATCACTTAAAAATAAACTTAAAATGAGCGTTTAAAGCATAATACTTGGAAAGCTGGGGACAGATGATCAAAGGAAGAGCCGAGAGTGGAAAGGTGCTTCCGAGGAGTGGAACTCGCCGGGGGGAGGCGCCGGGCAGGGGCTGTTTTTCTTTGTGAGCCTAGAAGTGCATTTGACTCTTAAAGCTTTGTGGATACAACACATCGATTAAAAGGAAGATTTTTATTTTTTAGAAGGGTACGAGGAGAGCCGCAACCCACAGCTGGGCCCCGACAGTGCTGGAGTGAGGGACAAGGGCAGCTTGGTGGCCAGCGGCGGGCCCCGGGCCACCGCCCAGATCCCCGGGAGGCAGAGCGCCGCCCCCGCCGCCCCCCGCGCCGTGTGCGCATGTGCACTGCGTGCGCATGTGCGCCAGCGGCTTCCTCCGGCTGCTGCGCAGAGGGCGGAGCGTGGCCTTCTCTGCAGCCGGGACCCGTTAGACAGACGTGACCTCCTGCGCACGCGTATCCGCGTGAGTGTGTGCCTCTGACTTCGGCAACGTTTGTCCGTCCTGGGGTTTTCTAGGTAGACAGTCACACAATGTGCAAGTATCAGCAGCTGTACTTCTTTCTTGTCACTCACTTACTTCCTTTCTTACGTTAATGCAATGCCTAGATCTTGCGGTAGAATGTTGAGTAAGAGTATTGAAAGCAGGCATTCTTGCCTTCTTTCTTATGGGTAAAAAATAGATCTTTCATTTTTTCCCTAGATACCCATTATCAGTTTAATAGAAGTTCCTTAGTAGTCCTGATTTTCTAAGAGGGTTTTTTTTTTAAAACTCATGAAGCAGTGTTGAAGTTTATTAAATGCTTTTCTTTTTATGTTTGTTCGGTTGACGATATGTTTTGGAAACATTTTTAAAGCTGGATTTAAGGGCCATCAGCAGACACTGGCTGCACACACTCGCCCCCTCCCGGCACGGCCTTTCGGAGAGAGGCCTGTTGGGGAAATGGGCCCATTCCATTGCAGGAGAATCCACTTTTCCCATTAAAATATAATTTATAAATATGTGTGGGTAATTAAGGATCACTAGAAACTTAAAATCATTAACCAGCATGAAGAGGAGGAGCAAACAGCTTAGCCCCGAGGGAAAACCCAGTAACTCAGGAAGTACTCATTAGGAAGTACACGGACTGCGCTCCTCTCCTCCCTGTGGTGGTATTTAACATGTTCTTCCATCCGCTGTGTTCTGCCAATTGGTAGTTGATCCTAGAGGCTTAATCAGATGCAGGTTCAGTGTTTTTTGAGCCAGAGTCACACAAAGGTTGGAGTGTGTTCTTCCCCAACACATTCACAGGTTGTCTCCTGTGGCGTCAGCAGCCACTGACCTCAGTGCCTAGATTCCAGTAATTAATTAAGGTCTTCTTTTAATTTAGAATAATTCCAAAGAATAGTTAGTTTTAAAAAGAAAGAGAAAACTTGAAATCTATGCACACCGGAATGGTAGCTATAAATTAAAAGGAAGGAATTTATGGCGATTCCAAAATGATTTCCACTCATTGCTCTGTTACAGCAGTTGAGCCAGTTTTGGTACAGTCAGGAAACCGCTTTGCGACTCGCGGAGGAAGCCATTGCAGCCGCTGGAGACCGTGGCCGGTAAGACCCAGGGCTTGTTTCTCTTTTGACTTCTGATCTAAAGTAATATTCAGAATGTCCTTCCAGAATGAGCGATGGTTTGTAAGAAGTGGGAAGCAAGGCTGTAGTTCATGGTTTGCATAACGTGCTGAATTAAGAATTGCTGCAGTGTTGAGGGTAGGAACAGTCAGAAACCCATTCACTGTAAGATGTCCTACCTCTTCTTTATTTTAACATTTTCTAACCTGTTTCTTACCTTTATATTTCTAAAGTTTGTTTTCCTCTTAAAAAGAAAAACTTTTTTTTTTTAACATTTCTCTAGTTTCGAGAGGCACCTGAGTGGCTCAGTTGGTTAAGCTGCCGACTTTGGCTCAGGGCATGATCTCACAGTTCATGGGTTCGAGCCCCACGTCCTGCTCTGTGCTGACAGCTAGCTCAGAGCCTGGAGCCTATTTCTGATTCTGTGTCTCCCTCTCTGACCCTTCCCTGCTCACGCTGTCTCTATCTCTCAAAAATAAATAAAACATAAAAAAAAAACCCACCACATTTCTTTATTTTTGAGAAAGAGAGCATGTGTGAGCTGGGGAGGAGCGGGGGGGGGGGGGTAGGGGGAGACAGGGATCCAAGTCAGGCTCCGTGCTGTCAACCTGTAGAGCCTGATGACATGGGGCTCAAACTCACAAACTTGTAAGATCATGACTTGAGCTGCAGTCGGTTGCTTATATTATGCCAACATAAATGTTCTGCACAGTTGAACCTTATGCTTTTCCTTTTCTGTATGATTTTTCATTTTTCTGAAGAAAATCTCTTATTTTTTATGTATGTCTATATCCATATCACAAGTTAACTCTCAGACTCTCCTCCAGTTGTGTGGCTCTCCTATCAGTAAATTCCGACCTATTTCAATTCTGTGAAAGAAGCTACTCCCAGGGCTTTGCAAGCTGCTCTTACCTGGACTCCCTGATTTCTGGCTTTGCTCCAGGTCTTACTTACCTTCGTGTCTCCCTTCACCATCGCGCCTCAGAGCCCTTTGACCTCTCCTTTGTTCTGGATTCCTGTTCCCTGTGCCCTAGTTCTTAGTTTATAGCCGTATTTGGTACGTCCTTTGATAGCTTCCACAGAAAAAGTACCTGGCAGGGAGGCGGTTAAACCTTTCATGTCTACAAATACTTTTATTCTGTCCTTCCTCTCGATTGTGATAGTTTTGTTGGGTATCTGCTCCAGGTTTTAAGGGGATTGCTTCGCTGCCTCCAGGCTTCCTCAGGTGCCCTGGAGAAACCTGGTGCCATCCTGATTTCTTGTGGGAAACCTGTGTTTTCCCAGCCCTGCCCACTACAAGCTTAGGGTTTCTCTCAATCCCAGTATTTGTCATGTCGTGCTGTGGTGCTTCCGTCTCCTGAACTGGGTGCAGAACCCTTTCCTTCTTTTAACTCGGATCCTTCAGTTTGGGGAACGTTTTCTGTCAGTCACAGAGGGGCAGACAGTAGAGACTTGGGATGGGGAAGAGAATCCTGGGAACGAGCTTCTTAAATGGGCCTTTCAGTGAACCCTCCTATTTTTAGCCCCACCTTCACCCCCACTTCTTGGGTTACCTGGTTCTGAGCTTCTGGAGCCTTTGAGGGTGCTCGGGTGTAGACCAGAAGCTTCTCAGTTTACCTGTGACACCAGTTTGGGATTTGGCCTTTTTGGGTCCACTGAGCCAAATACCAGCCATCCATTTGCTTTTCTGCTTTTTTTTTTTTTTTAAGTTTGTTTATTGAATTTGAGAGAGAGAGAAAATCCCAACAGACTCGGCACCATCAGCGCAGAGCACAATGGGGGGCTCAAACTCATGAACCGTGAGATCATGACGGAAGCTAATGTCAGATGCTTAACTGAATGAGTCACCCAGGCGCCCCTGCTTTTCTGCTTCTCCAGAGGTTTTTGTTTTGTTGGTTGATTGGTTGGTTTTGTGGGGTTGGTTTGTTTGGTTTGGCTTCCTCTTGAATTCTCTTTGCTCTTGGCAGTTTATGCTTAAACAACAAAACAAAACCATTTTATTCATGTTTTATTTAGTAGGCTTTCATGAGGGAGCAAATGTAAATGCATGTGTTATATCTGCCATCTTAAAGTGGAAGTCCTAAGGTTTTTTGTTTTGTTTTTGCTGCTCTTTTTCTTTTAACATTATATATAGAGGTTTATTGGGTTCTTCTTAATGACAGTGTTTACATATATTTTCTTTTTTTCCACTAATATAAAAGGGCTTTGGAAGAAGTTTTTTATTTTTTCTGAAAAGTACCTTCAGTACTTTTAGGAGGTCTGTCATAATATTCAAAATGAATAGTAATAGTAGCATTTATTGAGCACTTACTGTGTGCTTTCCCCACTGTGTGCGTGCTCTCCGGGGACACCCTGTTTAATCCTCCGTTATACTCCTCATTGTAAAGAGAGGCTCCAGGACTCCAAGATTGCATATCCTGCGGAAGGTCACCCGCTGCTGCACAATAAACGTCACTGTCTCCCCAAGTTCATCGCCATTTCGCTTACAGTCCCTCGTGCACCTCAGACCACTTTCCCTTTGCCCAAAGTACGTGCTTTGGAATTTCATGGTGCAGGTCTGCTGGTGACAAACTCTCAGATTTTGTCTGTCTGGAACTGTCTCTATTTCACCCTCTTTCTCGGAAGATAATTGCATTGTACATCTAAGCCTGGGTCGCTGCTTGTTACCTTTGAGCACAGTGAGGACATTGCTCCATGTCCTCTGCCCCTCTCTGCTTGCCACGGCCCTGCCAGCAGCCTGGACTGGCCAACAGGGCCCTTGTCTCCCTGGGCTGTGACATGCATGTTTCCCATCGAAGCATGTGTGTCATCGCCAGAGTGTATCACAAGCTTCAAGTGCCCTGGGGCTGAGAAGCCTTTGTAGCCGGGCTCGGGGACCCAGCCTGTCCATGGGACATGGTCTCTGTTCAGAAAGGCATCTTGTAGTTTTAAAGCAGCTTGTGTGCATGGAGATTGAGTTTTAAGATATCTTTGCAGAAAACTGAAGCTATTGAGGCAGTCATTTGGCGTTTTTCTTTCTAGATTATGAATATTACGAAGTAACTTCAGGGGTACCTGGGTGGTTCAGTTAGTTGAACACCTGACTTCAGCTCAGGTCGTGATCTCGCAGTTCATGAGTTTGAGCCCTGCATCGGGCTCTGTGATGTCAGCATGGAGCCTGCTTTGGATCCTCTGTGTCCCCCTCTCTCTACTTCCCCACTCACTCTCTCTCTCAAAACTAAATACGTAAAAAAAATTAAAGTAACTTCAAAAAAATGAATTTGAGACAAAGTATTTGAAATAAATGTTAAAATGAGGAGGACCAATGTGTAAATCATAAGCATAGTTAAGCCTTGGGCTATCTAACTTTTTTGCTAATGTGTTCCTAACATTTTATACTTTTTACTCTAAAAAGTACATTTATTTATTCTTTCATACCTGAAAATTATGATTTGCAGGATTTTTAAACACCAGATTCCTTAAAACTGAAGCTGTATAATTTCCTCTTGAAATTTACTGCCTTTACATTAGCTTGCATTCTGATTCCTTTGAAGATCTGAACACGAGGACCGATATTTTTTTTTAGTGAAGTAGTTGTTATCTGATACTATGAGCTCTCCATTAAAGATCTTCCATGAGTTTTTTCCTTTTGTTTTCTAGAATAGCTTGTGTGAGTGCCCCCAGTGTTTACCAGAAACTGAGAGAGCTACACAGAGAAGACTTTTCTATATACATCTTTGAATACGACAAAAGATTTGCTATATACGGAGAGGAGTTTATCTTCTATGATTACAACAATCCATTGGATTTACCTGAAAAAATTGCTGCACACAGTTTTGACATCGTAATAGCAGATCCCCCCTATCTCTCCAAGGAATGTCTCAGAAAAACTTCAGAAACCATCAAGTATCTGACCCAGGGCAAGATTCTGCTGTGCACAGGTAGGTGCCTGATTGCATGGCCGGCGAACCTGGACCGGGAGGTATTCCAGCCTTACGTTCCTGGAGTTGGAAGTGATCTTAGAACTTGAATCCCAAATCCATCACTCACTGTGTGACCAAACAGCTTACATAACCAGTGTCCCTGTGCCAGGTTTCCTTATCTGTAAACCCGACTGGTAACACTGCCTTCCTTTCGGCGTTACTGGAATTAAGTGACATGATACACACAGGGTGTGGTCTGGCACATGGAGAGTGTGCTGTGAGTGTTATTTTTACTCATCCTCATCAGGAATAGTAGCAGTGTTGGATCCAGCCTCCACACGTGACGAGAGAGAAATGTGGGATTGATAACGTTAAGACGAGTTGCCCAAGGTTACAGAGCTAGACGGCGGATTACATTGATCTAACCAGCAGAAGTGTGTTCTTACTGGTGAGACTGATGTACTGTCTTCAGGTGGACATACGGAGGGTTGGCGAGGAACTAGAACATTAACTCGGTCTGTCTACTCGAGGTGGCCGGCGTCCAGGCCCCTGGGGTCCCCTCCAGCCCCCAGGGCCCCTCAGGCTGGGCCGAGCCAGGAGCGGAGCTGCAGAGAGTCTCTTCTCCCTGGAGCTGGAGAATTGTCAAGACGGTGGCCCTGGTTTTCACAAGTACAGTTCCCTGAGGCTTATCAGTTCACCAGTTGTTTGCTAGCCCTTCGTGCCAGCTGACAGGCAGGGGCCCCGGCTTCATGGAGCCTGCCTTCTAGTTTTAGGAGATGGGTTAAAAAACGTAACCGAGCAGACGGAAGAGATGATTCTGATAAGCGTAGTGACAGCATCAGAGAAGGGCTGGGCGGGCACCGAGAACCATGAGGGCATCCTTCCCATCGGGCAGGCAGGGGCTCTTGGAGGGGCAGCATTCCAGGGGAGCCCTCGGGGGGTGGCCGAGAGTGCCTGAGAGCCCCCTGGAGTTCTCCTCCTGTCCCTGGTTCTTGGAGGGATGCGGGGGGCTCTGCCCCAAATCGCGTGCAGCTGACACAGGTGGAGTGGGGGGAGGGGCGAGAGGGTCCCTTACAGGTGACAGCTGCCATTGTTGGGACTTGGATTTAAAGCCGTCAGCCCCCAGCTGACGGGACCCAGTTTGCCTTAAGAAGCGCACTTTCACTTTATGCTGAAAGGGACTTAGGGCACGGGTGGAGTCAGGCCCCCGTGATGGTGAGGGTGTGTCCAGCTGAGAGAGGCCGGGACGAGGTGCGGCTGTGAGGAGGCGGCGGGAGTGGAGTAAGGATCCACTCAGAGGTGAAGGTGGAAGAGCTCGCTGTGCTCAGAATGTGGAGGGAAGGGAGGAGTCCAGGGCGAATCCCGGGTCTCCTGCCTGTGTGAGCTGGAGAAGCACTTGCTGCAGTGGGGTGTCTCAGGAGAGGGGCTCAGAGACACCTGGGGCTGTGTCCACAGAGGTGGCCGCGGGCCAGGCAGTGGGTGGGACACGGGGACAATCAGCCAGAAGCTGGTGTGAATGAGCTCCAATTAGGTATGACAGAGTGGGTTCTGGACTCAGACTTGGAAAATACTAGTTCTTCGCCATTATTTTTCCTTTCCTTATGTTACTTTGTGGAATATAACTCTATTCCTGAATTTTCAAGTGTCTCAGTTTTGCAGAGGTAGGAAAACTATTTTTGAAATTAAAAAGGAGGGGCACCTGGGTGGCTCAGTTAAGCGAGCGACTCTTGATTTTGGCCTAGGTCATGATCTCATGGTCATGGGATCGAGCCCTGAGTCGGGCGCTGTGCTAAGCTGAGCGTGGAGACTGGGATTCTCTCTCTCCGTCTCTCTCTGCCCCTCCCCCTCTGGTGCATGCGCACACTCTCTCTGCCTCAAAATGAACTTAAAAAAAAGAAAAACTTAAAAAAGCAAAAAAAATAGTTAAAAAGGAATAAAGTAGGTAATTTGCAAATGTGTTGAAGAAAGTGAAAAGAGATATAAAGAATTGACCTTCCCACGTATTTATTGAGTGATAGGGTCATCTCATTACCTCACGTATTCTAGTCTAGTACCCCTCACCAACTGTAGTTGGTGCTTCAGGCTTCAAGTTCACTGGGTCTGTTCCCTTCAGGTGCTGTCATGGAAGAAGAGGCAGAGAAACTTCTTGGCGTGAAGATGTGCAAGTTTATTCCCACACACACCCGGACCTTGGGGAATGAGTTTCGCTGTTACGTGAATTATGATTGCGGGCTGGACCGTGAAATCTCAGTGTAGATAGTTCTGTAACACGGTGAAGGGCCCTGTGTGACACTCCCCTCTCACTAGTTCCTTGGTAGACTGAAAGCTGTAACCTCCTCCCCTCCCCTGCAGAATGGGGTTAGCCCTGGCCTGATTTTCCAGGTAAAAACACAGCGTCTCATATGCCGTCCTTGTCGCCGGGGTCTCCGGAGCTCCGGGTGCTTTTGCCCTCTGGAGGCTGTGGAGCTGTAGTGGGAAGGAGCCTCAGAACCTGCCTACAGTCTGCTCTCCTCACCTAACAACAGGCAGGGACCCAAGTGTAGTCCGCTCAGTGGCTTGGCTAAGGCCTGGATTAGGACCCAGGCCTCTGCTGCAGGCCGTCTGCCCCCTTCAAACAGGCCCGTCCGGCTCTGCCCGAGGGGCGGCTGGTTCTTCGCAGCAGCTTTCCTGGGGCGTCACAGGACTGGCGAAGGGCCGCCATCCGCTCCGCGCCTGCCCGCCCCAGCTTCCCTCCCCGAAAGAAGTGGGTAATTCTTGGAGCTAGTATGAATTTAGAAATCCTTGGAACTAGAGCCTTCTGGGATTTTCCCTCCTCGTCCCGACTCACGGAGGGAGGACAGGAACAGCGCAGGTGGCAGACGCTCAGCCCCCACGCACCCTCGGCTAAAGCCGCATGAGCGGCGGCTCCAGGCCGCCCGAGAAACCGGAAGTGCCGCCCGCAAACCAAACGCTACGGCAAAACGGAGGTGAGAAGTCCGCTGGCCTCTGTCCCAGTTCAGAAACTGTTCCCCGTGCGTCCGCATCGTAGAACATTCCTCTTCTGCAATCCAAGGATGATTTGCTGACACCTGGAACTTGGGTGGATTCCAGGGGCCTGTGCCAAGTGAAAAAATCCAGTCCCCAAAGGAAACCCATTGTGTTTCCACTTAGATAACAACATTCCTGAATGGAGGACGGAGTGGTGGTTGGCAGGGGTAAGATGGGGGGTCGGGGGATGGGCGTGACCCTGAACCCTTTTGCGTCTTGACTGTGCAGTGGTCGCACAGAACCCCGCAGATGGTGTCCCACGCAACACGCGCATGCGCACCACTGGGAACTGCAGAGTAAGGTCTGTGGGCGGCACCGGTGCCCGGCCCCCGGCCCCCGGCCGTGACCTGCGCTTATGGAAGATGTTACCGCCGCGGAGAACTGGGAAAGGGACGCACGAGACCGCTCTGGAGTAAGTAAGTTTGCAATTTCTTCTGCATCTAGAATAATTTCAAAGTAAAAAAAACATAATTAACCCCTCTGGGAAAGGAATAACACTTTCCCACCTCACGCGAGTCGCTTTGCTATCAAAACGTGACAGGAAGTGATGTGTGTCACTGGCGAGCAGAGCTGTATTTTTCTCTGACGTGATCAGCAGTTTTCCAGGCAGAAGCGCTCGGTCTCCCGGAGTGGCGCGGTGGACCCGCAGCTGACCAGCAGGGAGAGAGAGAGAGAAACGTTTGCTCTCGAAAACCAGAGAGCGTGGGGATGGTTCCTCACTGCGGCGACCCCCGGCCTGTCCTGGACAGCCTCGTGCCCGGCGCCAGTGCTCAGGAAATATGGGGGCCTTGCTCTGGCCTGTTACGGGTCACTCCTCTGTTGTCCTCCTGTGGGATCATTTTAATTTACTTTTTAAAAAATCACTTGGTATTTTTATGAGACATTTATATTTTTATCCGTGTTAGCACCTGGCACATGTGAAGTATTCAGTAAATGATCTTTAAAAAATAACCCCTACCTTATTTCCTCATGAGTCCGTTTACTAAAAATCACCGAAACCACTAACAAATTTTAGTAACAAGTCATGTATGGAAATATAACGTGTAACTTAGGAATTGTTGGCACATAGCAGCCTAGAAATAAAGAATTTTAGTTTTCCTGTAAGTCTAGCATTTAGATGAGGAAGAGAAACCCTATTTTTTCATGGAGGGTGGGGGAGGAAAGGGGGCAAAGCTGCTATGGGTGTGGTCGCTGCTGCCTAGTAATAGATTTTGTAAACTTTTATACAAAAAGTCACTTAAATGATACATACTAAAGCAACAAACGTAACATGGGGGGAAGAACAGCTTGGTATTTTTTTAAACATGATCGTATCTTCTTTTTTAATGTTGTTTATTTATTTTGAGAGTGTGTGCATATGCATGTGCTTGGGGGAGTGGCGGGGGGAGGAGAGAGAATCCCAAGCAGGCTCCACGCACAGTGCCCAGCCCAGTGTGGGGCTCAGCCTCACGACCGTGAGATCATGACCTCAGCTGAAATCAAGAGTCAGGTGCTCAAACGTCTGAGCCACACAGGTGCCCCAGCTTGATACTTATTTTTAATGTCGCTTATAAATCAACGAGTCCAATATGTCCTAATACCTCCCGTGTGCCAGGCACTGTACCAGGTGCTTTACAAATGGTGTCCTGTCTTCACAGTGACTGAAGGAGGCAGCACCACCCAGTTATCAGGAACATGTCGCTTAGCTTCACGGGGCAGCACTTCCTGTGAGGAGTGGCCCACAGACACCTACCTGTGCTCTGACCGCCAGTGCAGGTTGTATTTTGGCTGAGGATGGAGACTGCATCGGGTTCACGGCTGTCTCCCAGGCGCTCTGTACCCGCAACACGGCCAGTGCGCAAGTATTAAGTGGAAGAATATCCCATTCAGAGAAAAAACAGAAAGGTTGCTTTTCTGGTTCTACAGAATGGAAAGCTAATTTCTTCCACTGGGAATGTGCTACCTTTTCACAAGCTAAATTTAGTTAAGCTAATAATACAATAAAATAGTGCTATTTTCTCCAAATGTTTACTCCTTAAGTTTACTCTCCTCTGATGTTTGCACTATTTCTATTTGAGGAGTAGCTGGAAAATGTTACCCAACAGTGGCAATGACTGAACAATTACCCAAACCACTGGTTTGAAAAGCACTTTTTCTTTTAACTTACGGATTTGATGTTGTTGAGCTAGCAATAAAAGATTGCTCCAAACCTTCTGCTTTCTGGATACGAACGTACTCCAGACGTACTACCGCTAGGGATAGCTTTTTTCCCTACATACGCCACCCCCTCAGAGGTTGAATGGAGAAGTAAAACTTCCCAGACTGTATAGAACTATACAGCTGGGCTTTCAATTTTGAATTTCTGAATTTTTGGAAAATCTGGATTTTGCTCAGCAATGTATTTTCCACGTACAACTTCTGTTAATATTTAGTACTAGCTGAAAGTTCTGTGACCCCTCCCTCCAGACCGAACTAAGGCTGAGACTTGGTAGCCAGGAAGCGAAAGCTCCATTATTTTTAGGGCAGCTGAAGCTGTGAAATGCACTTCTCCGTTTTGGTTTCGCTGGGGTGTCACAGAAGAGGGGAGAGGCACTTTGCATGAGTAGTTGATCTTTCAAAGACCAAATGAAATCTTCATTTAAATGTCAACTACGGAGTTAAGATAAAGTGAAGACTCCTAGCTTCCTCTAAAAATCAGTGGAGCCCATCAAGGCCAAGCTCAGAGAGGAATGCACGCAGCCAGGATGCCCTTCATCTACAGTCGCTTTAATGACTTAAAAAGAAATTCTCACGTTTACAAATACTTGTGTTCAAGGACAGACCTTCAAGCTACAGAAGAGAGTATGGATTTAGCTCACGTTGCAGGATGTTAAAAGGCCCCCAGTACTGATTTCTGGAAATTGTAAATTGGCCTGCTTCTCGCACGTGGCTAGTTCCTGAGGCCCTTAAAGCTAAGACTTGGATTCCTGAGAAGTGGCAAAGCTGTCCCCATCCACCTGTCGCCTTACCCCTCCACTTCTCACTTGGCCCCACTTAACTTTCAGGAGTGAAAAAATTCTTTAATTGTATAAATCTGTGACCATGTATATACTCATGATGAACAGACCAAGTTTGAGACTTCTGGAATCCCTGGCCTGTCTGGGTAAGCGGGGCCCCTTTTCCCTGGGCAGCAGCCTGTGAAGGGCTTCCCTGGAACCGGGTCCCATTTAGCCCTGTCCTTTCTGTCATGGGCGGCAACTGGGGGCTGGCTGGATTCAGGGACAGCCGCGGGGCCGTCCTGAAGTTCACCTTAAGATTCCCAGTTGTGCTTCTCAAACAGTCTTGCCAGAGGAAGTGAAACAGAACGGTTACAAAGTCCTTCTATGTTAAGTCAAACAATTTTAATATAATTGCTCAAAATTCCTTCTATAAAAATAGTTTCTTCTCCATCGAAAACGGTTGAATAAAAGAGTAGGTATATATTCCACTTTTTAAAAACGCTTTTTCTTTCAGAAGCACCTTAAGCTACCGTCTACCTCGCGAGGCTCGCACCGCTTCCTGGAGCGGCGTCCAGGGCTCCGCGGCCTGCGTGGGGCAAGGGTCCGAGCCCGGGGGCCACGAAGGCGCGCTCACGCCCCGCCCCCGCGCTCCGGCCACCTTCGCGGCCGTGTGCGGCCCACCTGAGGTCACGGACCCCGTGCGTTTGCCTGAGAGAACCCCCAGGGGGCGCTGCGCGAGGGTGAGCGGCGGGGCCGGCGGGGCCGGCGGACCTCTCCGGGTCACCTGAGTTTCGTTTCCTCGTTTCCTCTTCGTTTTCTCTCCCAGGAGGTGGCCGAGCCAGTACCCCCCTCCCCGCGCTCGCTCCGGGAACAGCCCCCCCCCCCCGCCCAGCCCCCGCGCTCGCTCCGGGGACAGGCCCCCCCTCCCCCCCATGCTCGCTCCGGGGACAGGGCACCCCCAGCCCCTGCGCTCGCTCCGGGGACAGGGCACCCCCCCCCCCCGGGACAGCGGCAGGGCCTCAGGGCCCGCCCGGCTTATCGCCGGGGCTGAGCAGCAGCTTGGCGCCCCGCTTGTCCGCGCTGGAGTTGGCGCCGTCCGCCTCCTTGGCCTGCTCGGGCACGCAGGTGCAGCCCACGGGCACCGTCACGTACTCCTCCGTGTACACCCAGCGGCCGCCCGCGCAGGCCGACGTGCGCCGCAGGATGACGGCGGGCACGTACACCGGGGCGCTGCGGAAGCGCAGGTCCTCCTCCCCGAAGAGCCCGGTCAGGCAGCCCCGGCACAGGCAGTAGGCCTCGGGCAGGTACTTCGGGTACCTGGCGGGGTCGTAGGAGATCCTGCAGGGAAGAGAGCCCGGGTTTAGTCCACGCTTTGGGGCAACGGGACACATCACGTGCTGGGAAAGTTTTGCTTCTGGGACCAGTAAGCCTTGATCAGGGCGCAGCAAGGAAGGTGGGGCCGGACAATTAATTGGTCAGGCAGTTCGCGTCCACGCAACACCCGGATCTAAAACAGATAAAGCGGGGCGCCTGCGTGGCTCAGTGGGTTGAGCGTCCGACCTCGGCTCAGGGCATGATCTCACGGTTCGGTTCGTGGGTTCGAGCCCCGCGTCCGGCTCTGTGCTGACAGAGTCTGGAGCCGCTTCGGATTCTGTGTCTCCCTCTCTCTCTGACCCTCCCCTGCTCATCTTCTCTCTCTCTCTCTCTCTCTCTCTCTCTGTCTCTCAAAAATAAAACATTAAAAAAAAAAGAAAGAAATAGATAAAGCACGTGACTCTACGTTAAATGGTGAAGACAGGGTTTATAGCTATTCTTAGGCCATTCACCTAAAAGTGCTTTCACCTGCACCAACATAGGTAGAAAAGTAAAATATATATATTCATGCTCATGACTGAAATGCATCAGCAGGTAAGAGATGTACAAGGACAACCTGGCAGAGGTGGGGGGAGGGGGGTGAGCCCCTGGCACGCTCGCTGGTGGGTGGCCACACGCACCCACCGTGATGGGAAGCAGCCTCTCCGCCCCGGCGCCCACTCCAGCTCTGAGCCTTAGAGCAGTGGCCCCAGGGCCCCAGATCTGCCTCCCCTCCAGCCACCAGGCTCTGCAGCCCCAGACGGCGCTGGTCACTTTGGTTCCCAGGGAGGGGCCACCTCTGCAAGAAGCTAGGTGGCCTGGATGCCAGACGGTGCAGACACTGGCCACCTGGCCTCTGACAGAGCCGTGAACCTTGCTCAAGTCCAGAAGGCCGTGAGGCAGGCGTGTCCGTCTGTCTGTCAGGGTCTGTGTGGCCTGCTCGAAGGGGCCAGAGCTGCACCGGGGCGGGCAGGCTCGCCAGCCTGGGACGTTTGGGAAATGAACGCTGGTTTAAACGTGGCCATTTCCATCCTCCAAGGCTCCCTATTTCCTGGTCAGATGCCAAGAGCCAATGTCAACACCTGCAAAACAGCCGGTTGCCACAATGCCAGAGGCGTCTGAGGGCTTGGCGGGCTCAGCTGGCTCCGGGGGGGGGGGGGGGGGGGGGGGGGGGGGGGGGGGGGGGGGGGGGGGGGGGGGGCAGTGTGCGGGGCTGATGGGAGCCAAGGACTCACATTTTAAAAAATGAGATGTGCCTACAGGTTTTTACAGACAAGAACTTGAGGTGTATGTGGCTTCTGATCCGGGTTTTGTTAATGCGTGCTCTGGAGAGCAGAGTGGGGCTCCGTGGGGAGGGACAGTGGCCCGGGCTGGCCTTCGCCCTCCGTAGCCTCCCGCACAAGCGGCGTGGCCTTCAGGCAGAAACCCTGTGACTAGTGCTCCCGCAGGCCCCCCGTAATGACGAAAAGTCATCCACGAAGTGAGACACTGCCAGTTAAGAAGTACGTTTGGACCATCCAATTAAAGAGTGGGGGGCTTAGGAGAAGTGGGGGGCAGGTGAGCGAGTAGTGGGGTGTCCAAGAACAGAGCTGAGGGTTTCTTTCAGAAAGGAGCTAAAAGGCAGGGGGAGGGGGAGGCGCAGAAGCCTGCAGGGACCCGGCTGTTAGACTGGCCCGGAGGCTTCTCGGCGGAGGAGGCCGCGTCCGCGAGGCCCGCGCTCCCTCAGTGGAGGTCGAGGGTGGGCGGCTCCACACGTGTAGGGAAAGCACCTGGGTTTCTCTTTCTGTTTGGCCCCAACATCTTTAGACGTTAGTGGACTGAAACATGCTGGGGCGGGGAAGAGTCTAGAAACGGTTATCTTCACGCAGCAACAGCCTTACCACCGGCCACATGCCATTTACACGGCTCGGAAGAACCGGGCGCCGAGCGGGGTGGGGGGGGGAGCACCCCGTGGACGGGGAGGAGGCAGGAGCCCCGGAGGTAAACCAGAGGCCGGGCCGCCTGCCGCTTGGGCCTCCCGAAGCCGCCGGCCCCGTCCGAGCGCAGAGGCGAGGTCACGGGAGGCCAGGAGGGCGCCGGCGCAGACCCCCCCCCACTCGTGGCCGCACCCCGAGGGCAGGTCCAGGGTGCCGGCTGCTCACCCTGCTGTGCGCCGAGGGGCAGCGCGGGGCTGTGCACAGAGCAAGTCCTCTCTGAGGCCCAAGCACGCAAACCTACGCTTTGGTCTCTTCGTCCTTCCCTCCGGCTCGAACGCCAGCAGCTGAGACGCAGTTTTTCAGCCTCTGCCGCCGGTGTTGGCTGCGTTCTGCCGTCCGGCGCCTTGGGAGCGTCGCGAGCTCCGGGCTTGCGGGCATCCAGCCGCCGCCCCACGCCCCGCTCCCTCTCCCTCCTCCGGAGACCCTCGTCCCCGCCCCGCGTCTGGGCGCAGTGGGCCGCGGGGGTGCGTGTCAGCAAGAATCCAAACTCTGCTTTGCCTCGACGGCCTCCACCGTGTGCCCCCCCCCCCGCACCTCCTCCGACGCCCCCGGTGCGCCCGCCCCTCCCCCCCGCGAAGTGCCCGCTGAGCGGCCGCTCCAGACGCCCTCCCCCCAGCCGGACGCAGACTCACCGACCCCTCGCCCTACTTCAGGGTCCAGTTCAAATCATTAAGTCTTCAAATTCCCTGAGTCAGATTTAGCCTCCGCGTCCCCCAGATCCCCCGCCCGGTGCCTCCCGGGTGGGAGAGGACGCCTGCTCGATGCCCTCCCCGGGGAGGGAAGACGCCGGGCTGTGTGTCTACTCATCCTTGTGCCCGAACATGAGGATTAGGGCTCGGCGGGCGGCGACAGCGGGTCCGCACCGCACAGCTTCCTGTCCTTCATACCCTTAAGTCCATATAAGACCACAACTTAAAGTTCGAAGGAGAAGGGATTCACACTATCTCCGGTCGCCGTCAACACTTAGTCAGCAACATCCGAGTGCCGGTGACGTGGCAGGCAACGAGGACGTAGGGGAAACACGCATCTACTACGCAAGGACTCACCATCTGGGGAGATCGGTGTACAAACACTCAGGGTGCATCCAGCCATGGCCGCTGGGAGGCCTCCTGGCCAAGGTGGTTCCTGGGTGGATTCATCCAGATGAGGAGGGGAGAGAGGGTACTTAGGGCACAGGGCAGAGCCTAGAGTGGAGGCGCTGCCGCACAGACGAGGAACCACAGACGGGGCCACCTGTGGAGGCGGGGTCATTAAGAGCCTCAATTTTACAGTCAGATTTGGATTTGACCCTGAAGGCAATGGGGAGAATGTTAAAAAAGGTAAGTGATCCAATCGGATGGAATCGCAGACAGACCACAGGGTAGAAGATGGTCTGGATTCTGAGAGAGATCCTGGCTGACGGTGGAGATTTTTAAATCATTAGCATGTAGTCAGTGGTAGTTAAGGAAGGTCCTTCAGGAGAGCATATGGAGAGACACAAAATGAAAGACAGAGAAAACCAACTTGTGAAGGAGAAGATGTCTCACTGTCGAGATGGCCAGTCAGGAGTGGCACTCCCCGAGCCAAGGAAGGCAGGTGCTAACGAGGGACTAGCCAAAAACTGGGACGGACTGAGCTACTTTACTGGAAATACAGGGACAGAGGAACACGTTCAAAGGCACCATGAGGATATGACCAACAACATACAGAATGTGGGAAACTCAGCACGTGTTTGTTCCAAGAGAGAAAGGGAGGGAACCCCAAAGAGCATCGAGTAGAATGACCTGAGCCCCGGGCACGGGGCGTCGCCGACCTGCATGACACCTGCCATCCTGGCCGGCGCAGCTGCGAATTGCGCAACCTTCTACTTGTAATGCCTCCTTTTGGATGATAATTATGGCTGCTTAAAAATCACATCCAACCCAGACTGAGGGACCTTCAACAAAACAACTGACCACACTCTTCAATGTCACAAAAGACAAAGACCTGAGGGACTGCTGTAGACTGAAGGCCTCTAAAGGGCCTGGACCACCAGAGGCAACATGTGAGCCTGGGTTGGATCCTGGAGCAGAAAGGGGGCATTCGTGGGCGGCTCTGAATAACGTCTCTCAGATTATAGCACTGTCATCAGTGCGTGTTTCCTCATCTTGATAATTCTGCTGAGTTACGATGTTGACATTTGGGGAATCTGGGTAAAGGCTACATGGGAATTCTTTGTACTAATTTCACAAATGTGTTTTGTTAGTTTGAAACTATTTCAAAACATAGACTTAAATAATATAACAGAAAAAATACAGAGGAAAAAAATTTTTAAGTTTAAAAAGAAATACTTACAATCAAAGAATTTTGAACCTGACTGAATATTAGAAGATATTAGGGAATACTAACTTCCAGTGTATTAATGGTGCTGTGTGTGGTCTTATTTAACAGAGCCCTTATCTTTTTGAGATACACATGAAATGCATGAGGGTACACACACACACACACACACACACACACACACACACACACAGTGCTAAGTGCTTGTCAAGTAACACAGTGCCCTGGGAATTTGCCGAATGGAAGGTCAGTAGTGATTATTAATTCAGCAGAATTTTAGAGGAAGGTGGGCACTGGGGAGGATACGGCCCCTCCATGAATGCTCAAGCCAGCCCCGCAGACAAAGCAACACAAAGCCCAAAGACCACCACAAACACATGGGTGGCTCAAGGCTACTGTGCCAGGGAAGTCTGAGGTGGCTTTAGAAAACAAGGAGGGTAGGGGCGCCTGGGGGCTCAGCTGGTTGAGTGTCCGACTTCGGCTCAAGTCATGATCTCACAGTTTGTGGGTTCGAGCCCCGCGTCGGGCTCTGTGCTGACAGCTCAGAGCCTGGAGCCTGCTTCAGATTCTGTGTCTCCCTCTCTCTCCCCGTGCTGTCTCTCTCCGTCTCAAAAATAAACAAACATTAAAAATTTTAACAAAAAAAAAAGAAGGAGGGCTGAGTTGGACAAGGGAGGAGGAGGTGCTGAGCAACCCACCCCTGGGCAGGGA